TAGAACATTATATGAATACGGTATACAAATATGCGAAACATATGTTAAGTGTTGTAACAATAACGTTGCCACTGAAATCTGACACAAAAAGCCGTAAGCAATACTTGAACCAATTTTACGAAAAATTATTGACATTTTTAACGATGCACGAAATAGTCTTGTAATAGTCTTGAATGCGATGATATTTTAATTTATTTATTTTCCATAAGAATAAAAACAAATTTCTAAGTGACATCCTTAAAATGATGCCATCATTTTCATCACCTGATAACCGTATTCATTTATCAGCGATATAAATACAATAAAATATAAAGAGCGACCGAATGCATTGTTTTGTGTAAGAGAAAGAGAAAAATGCGTCACTCAAATCGACACGTACTACATTTATTTCTCCACGTGTGTTATTTACGGTTACATCTATTACAGTCATTCATCTCAAGCTAGAATTTAGCTGCCAGATCGACAAATGAATGTTTCGCTAAATGCGATGACAAACGGCGTTTTTTTTTTGAAAATTGGAGGAAATTTGGTTTCGTTAAATTCATATATTAAGTCAATGGCGGCTAAGTCAATGGTGTGATTCCTTTTGCATTTCAAGCCGAAATGGGAGTTACTTGAAAAAAATTGAAATGTACAGAGCATTACTTAATGTATATATACCAAAACCTATTTATTTTCGTTTGTATTTTGTTGGCTTAATCTATGGCATAAATTATGCTATACATTCCGTAACATTCTTCCGTTGTAATGTGCGGGAGTCCGGGCGATTTCATATGAACGGAATAACTAATTATGGTTTATTTCGGTTTTTCGTCGGAGCGTCCAACACACATTTTCATTTCATTTACAATCGTATAGATCTTGTTTGTTTGACGCTTCATCGCCCATCATAATATATAGAGACAGAGCAATAAAGAACTTTATGAAAATGATTGTACGTGAAAAAATATCGACGGGGCGAGTTTGATTAAGTCGTCGTCGTTGCCATTCCGTCAAAAGCAATTTCTATTCGGATTAAGAATTTTTTATTTAAATTTTGAATGCAAAAAAACAAAACAAATTTTGATGCTTTTAATACAGCCGAAGAATTGTGAGAACGACAAAAAAAATTTGAAGAGATTTTTTCGACTTGGTTATTTTCTCACAGTCTCACGCGTTAATATTAGTTTTTCCTTGTGCATCATTAAATATGACGATTTTGTGATGCAGGAAATATGGCCGATGAAAATTGTGCCCAGTGGGTACTATTCACCCTTCTTGTGCGCTTCAGATGTCTAGACAATGAGTGTTGATTAGATGAATCTTCCGATCCAGTGTCATTTTCACAGCAGGAGAAAAATTGGCATATTTTGTATCAAGCCATTGTGTGTGTCATATTGTACAATGACAATGCATAGTCATTCATGTGGCTTGTGCAAGCGAAATCAGATCATCGTTTTATGTACTTAGCAACCAAAAACTTGTACAACGCACATAATGATATATATACGAAGTTCTCTTATCTATCTTTCTCTTTCTTTGCATAAAGATTTTTTTTTCTTCTTCTTCTCTTTTGCGTTCGATGTAATTGATGCCATTTCATTATAATAAAGCGATTTCTTCGTTCTCTCATACTTGCATCGCGTCGCTGTTATCATCTAACTTCTTTTTGTTTATTTGATGGGTTTCTTTTTTCGCTGTACTTGCAACGTACGATGGGAATTTTTGTTGTGAACAACATCGATTTGTGCGTGTCAAGGAAAATAATTCATTCGATAGTACTCAACAATTTGTATGTAACAGAAGTATTTGTGTAAATGAACCATTTCATTTTGAATATTTCAGCAAGCAAATACAATGTAGCACTCCGTGTTGTTTCAATCCATTTGAATTATTTAATTCAAAATTACGTTTATTTGAAAGCTTTTTATTAAATATACACGCTATATATAGAGAAATTCCGGAAACTGGTTTGATATAGAAATTGGAGCGGAGGTGCGCATATCAACAAGCATACTGAAATTTTTAAAACATTTGAAATAATTAAAAAGTTTTTTCTAAGCGAAAAGTTCAAACAACAAGGGTTAAAATGATCTCCGAAGTAGAGGTACATTTTTCTGGAAAAATGAAATGCATGTTAGATTACTTTAAATAGTTTAAACTTTTCACAACGTTCATAACATTGTGGATACAGTATCTGTAGAAATGTAAGACTTTAAAGCAGCGAAATCATTTGTGAACATATTTACATTTATACCAGAGAATTCGAATCCTAGTCGTTGCTTTCATGCTCTTCAATTTCTAAAATCAACATTGTCAACACAGTTGATAAGCACTTTTCTCATCAATTATACCGATAAAAATAAACGCTGAATTATTTAACAATCAAATTCGAAAATATTCACATTGAGCTCAAATCGACCAAAATCTGTTTTGGAATGAATTTGGTGATTTTTTTTGCTGTTGTTGTTCGTCCTCATTCAGAATGCGTATTGATCGCCATAAAATGTAAATTGAAATATTATATTATTGTTGACGTGTCGATTGTATTTACCGTGTGTACATACACCATTGAATTATCAGTCGATTGCATGACATTGGTTCGATAATATTATTTTGGTTTTCATGTCAATCAAAAATTCATCAGTTCCGTTCAGTAAAATGTTGAATAAGAGTTTGCCATTTGTACATGCACTATACATACACTATTTAGTGATATTTGTGACGGTGTAGAGTCATCGGTTGGCGTGGTAGTACACAACGAAAAGTGTCAGACAATGTTGACATTTCATTGACAGCTGAAAGAGTTTGAGATGAACCAGATACAGAGACGCAAGTAAACGAAACCATTTACTCAATATGCATGATGTCATATCGTGGCGGTTGATTATTTTTTTCAATGCATCAACACTCAAAATATGATCCATACGGTTTATGGTAATCTATTTTTGTCCGTTCGAACTAATTTGTTTCGAATTTTTCGGTTAATGTAATACTTCCAAATTGTGGCTTAGCAAATTATTCGACGTAAGCAAGACGCAAACAAATGCAATGAGATCCAATATCTAAATATAAGCAAAACAGTTTTCATTACAACCATTTGCATTAAACACTGACAGAATGAGCGTATTAAAAGTGTAAGTCGGATATGGTATATTGATAAGAATGATATAATTCGGAGTGTTGTTAGCTTTTAATCATTTCATTTTAGATTAATGCTACTTCATTATTCATTGATTTCTTTGATAAATCGAAAGCGTTTAAAGCATTTCATTTAAAACAGCACATTGAATATCTCTGAATTATGATGACAACGAAAAACCAACCATCACGAAGCACCACACTATACCAATTAAATGAATTGTTTCTTTTTCATTTTTTGACATATATTTCTCGACGATTTTCCGACCATTTCAGCCATACGGACAGTGAGAGCCGTGTTACATCGAAATACGTGAAAATGAAAGCGAAAATATGGCCACAAATAAATTAATGCCGTAAATAATAATGATCAAATGTTTGAATGATGCATTCGAATGCTCTTTATTCTTGCTTACGATTAATAGAAAAATCTTCTGACGAGAAAAAGAAGAGACGTAATAACATTTATTTTGATGGAATCAACTTTAACAAATTGTTCATAATGCACAAGAAAACGATACGATGTAAAAAATGTGGAGTGTACATTTATCGTGATAAAATCAAATGATTTCACTTGAAATTCGTTCATATTTCGCATTTATAACTGTGAACATTATCAGGTGTTCGGATAAATCGGCCGGATTACTGAATAGCTCGAATTCAATATTGAATAACTGAATGCATTCATAATTCATGAAATATTGCGGATTTGGACGAACTTACGACCACTTGACGTTTGCATAAAAAAGTTTTGATTGTTTCAGGGTAATTGCACAATGAATTAACAAACTTTGAAAGCTATTCAAAAGAAACGGCATTTTTTCCGAACTTGTTAATTAACGTATATTTCCTCTTCTCATGCACCTCAACTACTGGTGTCTGTGTGTGTTTTTTTCTACCGAGAAGAAAGTGTAACGATTTAAGTTGTTTGATGTGTAGGTGTGAACGATGCGAATGTTTTTCTGCGATTCGAAACATAATGATTTTCATCATACTCAAGCAGGCAGAACAAACACTAATAAAATGGCAAAAAGGAATTCTATGAATTGAATATCTGCAAAATAACTTTGTAATCAGTTTCAACGATAATTTTATGTGATGTTATTTTATCGTAATCCCCATCCAATTTTATGTTTTATATTTTCCACCAAATTTCGAACGAAAATTCATATTTCCTTCGCATGAACGTTGCAATTTTGAAAGCAAGCAAAAAGTTAGCTGGCTATCATAGCCATTTCGTTTTCTTTCTCATTTATTATGAGGTCTAATGCATATTTGCACATGATTGCCGCTAAAATTTAGCTGAATCAAAACTTTATTTTATGACTGTTGGGAAATCTGTTCTTTCGAAAATGAGCATGCAATGAAAATATTGGTTGGTACTTAAAAAAATTTAGTATTTTTCTAGACATTGGGCAACGATGATTCTTGAAAACAGCCAATAAATTTATGAACTGCTAGTCACTTTGAAGTATTTATATATATTGACTTACATTTCGAGCGGTGAAAACAGTTAGAATTTATCACCGAAACAAAATCATGTTCTCATTACATTTCTCTATCTCTAGTAATTTAACATTGAACAAGCGTGCTAAAAGCGACTAACTAAAAAACGAATGACTTTATCTGTGTGATTGAGAAAAGTTGATTGAAATCAAGTACCGTTTCGATTTTAAATAGTCTTTCGTTGAAAATATACTAAATTATGGACGACGAATGACGCTACACATATATATCATTGGTCATTTGTGTTTTTTTTCTATTGGAAAACCGCAATACCTTCCGATGCTTGACCATTTTTTTTTCACACAAGAAGTTCCATTTAATTTTTTGAAACCGAACTAACCATATATTTTTTTTCTCTTTCTCATTATGCTTAGGAAATCGAACGCAGTCATCATGTGTAATCAATGATTCAGATCGCATTTGATTGCATTCACGTTCAGACATATGTGTATTTCGAATCAAGCATGGATAACAGTGTCCAATGAAACGAAATATTGGTGCAACATCTTCTAGAAGTATATGGCTGTGTGGCTGAACTAGAAACATAAAAGCGCTTTCGACAAATTGATTGCAGCGGTTTACATTTATTAGTTAAAAAAGAAGAAGAAGAATATTTTTCATTGCAAACATACACACAACACACAAAAACCAGTTATGGTGACAACGGATGAACCAAACCAAGAATGGCTCCGGCAAAAGGAGCTAGAATGCGATGAAAGTCTACGCAAAATCAACACAACTTTTGAAGCGGGTAAGCAATTTATATTTTATAGTGGAAGATGTGGTTTGCTCTCTCATTTAAATTTACCACAAAAATAAACAGTCAATTAATATTGGCATTTCCATATGAGCAACGATGCATTCCGTAACTTTTGTGACTTTTCCAATTTAAAAGTTTTTTTTTCTTCATTTAATAAGATCAGCATATATGAGGAATAAACAGAAACTGCTCATACATCCACATTTTAAATATATATAATTTTTGTTCATTGAAATAACCAACACAAACTTTTTATCAGCGATACGAACCGAAACCAAACCATTTTTTTGGTTTCACTTAAAACCAGACCGGAGCAATCGGAACGTTCGAAAAATGGTTCCTACTGCAAATCGCAGTCTGCGATGAGCTGTGCTGTGTGCATAGCATCAACGTTGTAGACTCATACATTCAAAGCATCGTCATTCACGTATACATAGCGTGAATGTATGTTCGCCATATAAACCATTTTCGGAACGTTCCGCTTGCTCCGTTTCGTTCAATACACAAATGAAACCAATTCGAGATACCACTCCGAAATCGGTTTGTATGAGAAATGTCAAACCGGTTCGCATCGCTGCTTTTTATTCCGAGTTAACTGTACGTGCCAGAAATCACAGCTAATTCATTATTACATTTTATTTGTTCGGTCAATGAACAAATGACAATTATTAAAAGAAAGTGTTCCCTTTATAAAATATTAGACTCTTCTATCCAATAGAAAGAGCTTTGATAAAAATCAACACCAAATTGAATTGTTTAAAATAAAATATCCAATGGCATGTCACTGCGTGTGTATAATCCGTTTTTTTTAAATGAATATTTCTCGGACATCATTGTTCTTAATTGATTTTGATTTAAAACATTTAACTCTATCAATGGCATTTTTAAAATTGCATCAAAAATAATGTTGACCTGACAGAAAATCCACCAGGTCCAACTTGTTTAAATTGTTTTTTTGATTTTTTTACGCTGTCAAAAGTGTAATGGTTTTCTCTATGGAAAATGTTCAAATCATCTATGGTATCTTTTAGGTTACGTGGTAGAATCAGGCAGAGTTCAACTGAATTTATATTGTCATTCTTCACTATAGACATAGATGGTCTGTAAATTATTAAATTGGATAACTTTTGGACAGACTTCAATCTGTTCGATTGAAAGATTTACTGAGAATATCTCTGTATAGGAAAACCTAATAAAAAAAAGAAGTATCCATAAAATTCGATCCTTTGATGTTCAAAGACTAGACAAATACTACTAGAACATAATAATGGACTACAATGCGACGAAATTCGAAATGGCTTTGTTATTTGCAATACATTTTATGCATATGCAGTGTGTTGAATGTTCGCTTGCCAACGTCAAATCTCAATAAGCTGTATTGACTGAACGTCCAAATCATACGGTTGATGTGTGTCAGATAATATTGATTGGTGGCTTTAAAAAAAGCTTTCATGCTTGAATTTTCAAACTACCCGATAAATATCAATTTACCGGGCAAATACCACGTATTTTCTCAACTTACCTTTATTATTCTAATGTCCATTCGGTTCGTTTACTGTTATAACAACTTTCTTCGTATGTTTTTTCTCTCTTTTCTGCTCTCTTCTTTGAATGCGAATAGGTCGAAATCGTCGGCATACAAATCTCAACGTTTTTATTATAAAAGACGTGAAAGCATTTTAAATGTTGATATTTTTATGAAAATACGAAAGAAAAAGATCTCCTCCGCACTAATCTGTTTAGTGACAGTGTCTTCTGGAATGTATATGTCGGTGCTAAACTTATATGTTTATTTTTCTTTGTTTGTACACTTTATGCTACTCCTCTTTTCATTCCGTAGACATTCCGGCCATTATTACGTTTGATTCTACGCTTTTTTGCGACTTGTTTTTTTTTATACAAATCTGTTGACGCTTTCTTTAGTAGGTCAACAATTCGTCCGTAACTTAAGGCTAAATAAATAGCAATTTACGTGCCGTTTTAGATTTTATCTATATTAGAATGTGTGCGGTACATTTTCCGGTACAGTTAAGTCTCGCTTTGGTCAGAATTTGATAATTCGAATTAAATCGTAGTGCATGCGTTAAGCTTTTCGGTATTTCATTCGAATGTGTACGAAAAGTAATTTAAATTATAATGCCGATTCGATGAATGATTTATAGGATTGAAACAGAAAATACCACTTGTGATTCGTTCTAAGTGAATATGAAGCGCTGGGATATGCTTAGCAAGTCATGCAAATCATTCGGCGATAAGAAAAAATGCTGCCGAGTAAAAAATGTGGCAGTACACAAAATGGTTCTGAAATGTTTTGTCTACGAAAAGCTGTAAATTTCGTTTTTATTATGAAATTGATCCAAAAATAAGATTATTTGGCATGTCGCGCAAGCATCAGACTTGCCACTTTTTTTAAAAGATGAATTGGCATATTCGTGTTATCATCATTCAGCAATCAATTTATCTCGAAATCAATTATATTCAAGAGCAAAAATGAAAGGAATTGGTTATTTGGTTGAAGGATCAACTTAAGTGAGTGAGCAAGCTACAACAATAAAAAGGTTCATGATTTTATACTTCGATAATTTGAAGATAACATGAAATGACTCTAAAATCGAGCTTTAACTGTAGCCTATCCTCGTAGCAGCAGTAAAACATGTAGCCTTTTTTTTATTCGGAAAGTTTCGTATTTTTTTTTCCTTTTTCTTGGTATATTTTTACTTTCGACATTATTTGTCTAATGCTTTGACATTTATTTATTCTTTTTGCAAAGAACTGCAAACAATTGCAATGACTCCGCTGGAATGTCGTCCTTTTTTGTGAAAAAAAAATACACATTGACTGTTGTCAAGGCATAATAACAAATTAAAAAAATGCGTAAATTCTGCTTTTCTCTATGCATCAAATGCTTTCCTCGATATTTCTTATTTTTATCATCAGTTTTTTTCATGGTATAGGTGTGCATTGTACGTTCAAACGGTACACAGAGAGGAACTAGTAGTATATCGGTTGTGGTTGTTGATGTTGGTTGCCATTTATACGATATCCGGTTTTGTTGTTGCAAAAAAAAAGAAAAATTTCCCATCCACATAATCGGCCTATGTGTATACAAGTGCAATGTGCATCTTATGGTTCAGTACCAAATATTCACATGCAAAAGAACACTGCTTATCTATACATTCCTGTTGCTTCTAACTCATTGTGGATTGAACGTTACATTTATGGAAATTATCCGGAGAGAAATGAAAAAATAGCAAAAATTAATAACGACGCACAAGAACCGACTGGAGTAAACGAAGAAAAACAGTTTATCTGTAACATTCACACAAAAAGAAAAACAAGAGTGTAGTGAGAGAAAGTGAGAGGTAGAAAAAAAAAATGAAAGAAAAATAAAGCGAACGTAACAATGAAGCAAATTGCTGAAAACAATTAGTAAAAACGGTTTTTTTTTTCTTTTATTATTTAACTGCTGGAAAAGTGTTGTGTTTCGCATAACTTATGCTTTGCGGATTAGCAGTAGATAAACGTGAAAAATGCAAAAATAAGAGACCAAACGATAGAAAGAGCGAATGAGATATATATACGGACAGGATGCTTCTACGTGACTATTAATAAATTGGAGAACAATGCTTGCGTATACAATGCGAAACACCAACAACAACAAAAAAAAGCGCGCGCTCACACACACACAATTGAATCACCCATTCATAGCACTTAATAAAGCGTACGAGTGTACATTTCAAATTGTTACTTATTTTTGTGTCTTTTTTCTCTGTTTCTCCCGTATACAATCATGTTGTTATATGTACGCATTGAACTTGCATGATCTTTTAACGGTTGTTCGGATATATTCTTGTGCTAACTAAGCATCAAATGACTGACGTTAATAAAAATTTAAATATAGAATGACCACAATGACATTGCCGCATTTTGTGACATGTGTCGAATGCGTATTAAATGGAATATATACATGGACACCGAACGAAGAGCAATGGCAACAGCGCTTCGAAATTATCATCATCTTTGCATTCCGTGTGGGTATTTGAGCAAAAGACAATGATTATTGTTATCATTATTCGCACGGAATTGCAGTAATTCATTTCAAAAACCAATTTCATTTCACTGAACATTTTGGACGTTGGACGTTGGATTTTGGTTTTTATTTCGCAAGCACAGTCAAATGGGTTGGTTTATAAGATTTTTTTTTGTTTGTCTGCATTCTTTTTTTTTCTCGTGCATACGAAGGGACACAATTTGCCAACTGAAAAACTTTTTTGTTTTGTTTTTTTTTTTCCTTGATGAATGATAATTGTTCACATTAAGAAAACGAGTTGAAGAAAAAATGGGACACAAAATTCGGCGTATAAACGACATGAAATGAAGACAAAAAAACACATACCCAATAACCTTATGCCATAATTTGCCTTGATTGTTTGCTCTGTTATAATCAAAATACGAGATAAGGGCTTGTTCGGTGAATTATTTCGAAGATACATCCTCTCAGTTTCATTTCATATTTGAGAAAATTGTTTGCGTTTGCCAGATGTCTGAAACGGTTTTGGAATCATTTTTATGGGAAATTGATTGGAGCGAAATGACTCTATTCATGCTAAATGCACCAAACATGAATACAGTGTTCGAAAATGTTTTATTATTGACATTGCCATTGCTATAATTTATCCTGAACACAATTGAATTCGGTGGCAACTGGTGGGCTTGTGACATTGTCGCAAATGGAGATAATTTGGAATAATTCAGTCGACAACAATACATGCGACGAATTGAAAGTGGGATATAAACTAGTTTTGAGTATGTTGACGTTATCACACCTCGTTTCGGAAGTGAAATGACGTTGCTTCTTCTCAACGCAAAACACATATACTTCACACGTTCAAACAAGAATAGTACTGATTACACTTTTAGTAGATGTACGAGATGTCTGTACGATCTTTTAATATCAATGGACGGACGAAGGAATGAGCAAACAAACGAATGCATGAATGAATGAAATGAACGAAAGAAGAAAAAAAAATCGGTCATTAGCCAACACGTTTTAATGTGAATGGCGACGTAATGTAACACTGTGAAGACTGATACATTTATTTATAATTTACGTGAAAATCTTTTACTCGTTCAGCAGGAGCGCTTTTCAAGTGAATAAAAAAAGAAGAAGAAGACAAAAACATTTATATCGAACAAAGACATCGAACATTCGTGTCATTTTCCAAAAGTGATATAAAATTGGTCGTAATTTTAACCACTCTGAATTCATTGCTTATCGCCGAGCACGCAGATGGCACATTCGCCTAATGAAAATTGAAATATATCGTTACCAATTTCAGAAGCAATTAATTTTGCCAATGCAAAATACCATCGAAAAATCAAGTCTTACGAAATATTTTATTCATTTAAATTAATTTATAATATCTTTTTGGTGTAGTAATTGCTCGACTGAGATACAATTCTACGGGGACGCATTTCTTTTTTTTTTTTCATTTTCATTCTCTCTCCCGTTTTCGAATGGGACCGCTGAAATGACGAAAAATTGATTCAAGGTGTCGACTTTTCAACATTGTTGTGTATGAAAATGATACGTGCTCCGATTTCATGAATTCCTTTTTTTTTGGTCGGATGTTTATGTATCTTCTTATGCGCGGATGGGCCCTGTGCATAGAAATCAGTGCGGTAAATTTAGACACAAGAATACATATCTGATGTTGGGATACAAGATACAAGCATAGAGTTGCCATTCCATTAAATTAACGTGATGCGAAATTTTTTCTCCACACGAGATGCTTCATTTATGCGTTCATCGGTGAAAAATGATTTCCTTTGGGGCATACAAGATCATATGTAAATATCAGAAAGAATGTCATAAATACATGTGTGCTGCTATATGAAAAAGTCATACATCAGTTAAAATGGCCTTCGGAGGCAAAGAATACGATGCAAGGCACATCCACTTATATACACACGCGGACGCATACCAAAACGAAACAAAAAAAAAAACAGCTTTAGATAGAAGGAGGATTCAGTGGAAAAAAACTAACGAATGAAGAAGAAGATATCTATTTTAAATGCAATCTGATTTTCTTAAGCGAATTTCGTCATATTTCGTCAACGGAGTAAAGCCACTTCGATTTGCCAGAATGTCACGCATCATAGGATCCACAGCAATTTTATTAGATGCTATGCTGCATTTAGAATTCATCAGCACAGCACACTGTGCCGCCATCGTTCTTGTCGCCACCTTTTTCAGATCATTTCGAGAGAATCAAGCATAAATTTTGGTTATTTTTTTTTGCATCAAAGTGTATTCGTCGTGAATAGAGAAAAGAAGAGAGAGAGCACGCAAAGCATCTTTGCTTCCAGGAATCCTTATGATTTTACTCGTGTCACACCCCTTATTTGAAATTCAACATAAAACATTGTATTATTTAGAATTTATTTTGTTGCGCTTTGTCTTTCCGCACTTCATGAGAGTCACCGTTTTATTTCATTTCCAATGTTGTTGTTTTCCTCACAAATGATGCAAAGAAATTATTATTTACATCGCTTTCTCTCTTCTGTTTCTTCTTTTCTTTTTGCAAATATGAGCAAATAGATGTTAGGCAATCAAATGTGTACATTTCTATGTTGGTTTAGTGAACGTATGAACGACCGTATAAGTGTAATATGCGAGCGAACGAGCGCACATTGCTCTTGCAATGACATTACAGATAAAATTGAGGTGGTATGCATATATATTTATGACAAACAAACCAAAAATCCAGCTAAAATTATTATACAATTGCTACACTGTGCTGCTTTATTGAATTTAATTCGAAATCAGCTGGTGCCAGCTCCATTAGGCAATAAACGTATTAAATATTGCCACCGCTACAATGTTGTCGACGCACAACAACAAAAAAATGCGTTACAATAAAAAATAATTTCGAAAGAGATTAGCACGACGATGAGATTGGTAATAGGGACTGGCTGTATAGGCAATTTTTGCTAATGCAATATGCATAAAGTGATTTCCATATTAAATACCATTCAGTGCCGATAGCATTATTGTCACCGGTTCAGCAAACACCATCTAATTACCATTAATTTTGATTACAGGTAAATTTTGCCGTGGAACATTTGATGGATGGCTGTGTTGGCCCGACACACCTGCAGGGACATCAGCCCAAGCATCTTGTCCGGATTTCAAAATCGGCTTTGATCCATCACGTAAGTGTGCGCTAGTTTTATGACCAATGGTCCAGTTGTAACGTTAATATTTTATGAAAGATACGAAAAACGTAGAGATCATTCTAATATACATAAATGACCAGCTTAACCAAATCAAAACACACAATTTCATCATATCATTCCACCACATTGAGTGAAACATCCAGAGGGTAACTGTAATTTTTCAAAGGGGTTTTCATCTCTCTGAATCATACCTGACTTTGTATACGTTGATGAGAGGAACAACTTTTCATTTTATATTGTGAAACTCATAGTTTGTTGACTCTCCTGATATTCAACATAATCAAAACGGAAAAAAACGATAATCCATTTAATTATATCATTATTAACTAAGATGAATAATTTCGTAGGCCGTATTCTTTATGAGCGACAGAAACAGGTCAGAGGTAAATATTCCAGCTATTTCATGCATGCAACATTCAAAATATGAATCGTGCAAAAACGTGTACAACAATAATTGCAAAACCATTATCATAATTCTGCAAAGTGATATCTCGTGCAAGGTACACCAAAAAATGGGGAAAAAGTCATATGATCGAATGGGTCCAATACCGAATCAGTAAAGTAAACAAAAATGTTTTTTAAAAAAATTCCGCAATTTGAATTTGGTTGTTCATTTGCTCAGTCAATTATTGGATTAAATTGAAACGGCGACAATTTTCTCCAGTTTGTCCAACAATACTAATTAAATTGAGTCCATTATTATTCAAAATGCACGGAAATTTTTACGATTGGAATTTTTTTTTTACTATAAAAGCATACGTCGTTTATACACAGTCGATATGATTGGCATAATAATACGATTTACAAAAATTGTTGGAAAAAAAAACTCATTCACCATGGAA